ACCTCTTGACTAGACTATATGATAACAGATTTAAACCCTTTCTCTCTCAGTGCATTCACTGTTAAACCACTGACCCCTCTGTCTGACCACAGCCAAATCACTGTGTTCATTAAAAGGACAGAGACCAACAGCACTGCACACACTCAGCCCAGTGAGCTGTACAGCATCAGGAGACCATACAGATGGACCTAAAACAGCACAGAAGAGTTCCAGAAAGCAATTGTAGACATTCAAATACTTAGACAGCTTTCTAAACCCCCCACACACTCACTGTAAAGTTATTAGCTAGGTTTCCATCTATGTATTTTTGTGCTTATTTTCTAGGGGTGGACAGTATGATTACATTTATTGTTATTATGAGAAGAAACTGTCACATTACAATAAGGAATCTAAATGCAATATAAAAAACTTTATATCAGTTCAACATAAACATAACTTAATGTTGTAACAAGCAATTTAACTGGTCTTATTCAAATCAATTATTTGAATTTCTTTGAATGCAAAGCAAAATTTTAGTTGTTAATTTTAGTATGAACAAAAGCAACATGTTACATCAAACCTTAAGAACACTTCAAATAAACTTCTGCCCTATTTCACGTTTAATAGTGAATGATCTTAGAAAGCTTTCAGGTTTTTTTCAGCTGCCCCCCTGTGTTTTTCGCATGCCCCACTCATGAATTCTCCTGCTGGGGCTGTGGAGAAACTGTGGAGTTCTGTAAAATTATTTCGAAGCTGGACAGGAACACCACTAACAATGCATGGAGGCAGGACTGAATTAGGCTGAATTATGCAATCAGATTTGAATACATTTCTAACGAATATGATTATAAAGTTCTGCAGTACCAAGAGACCCCTCACTCACCTGGCCCTAAAAATCACTCATACCCCACTAACACACATATAGTCTCTACCCTGGAAAACATCAGCAAACCTGATTAGAATGAACCAAGTTACAAAACAGCTGAAACAAAACTATATCACCTATTGGAAATCTCAAACACAAAATCACCCAATGATCTACAAACCCATTTCAAAAACTGTCAGTTGGTAAAATGTAAATTAAAAATATGCTTATTTTAAATTTGGTACCTGCATCATGTTCTAAAAAGTTGGGACAGGAGCATGTTTACCGCTGTGTTGCAACACCTTCCCTTTTAACAAATGTACAGTAATCATTTGAAAACTGAGGACACCAGTTTGTTGTGGTTGTGAAAGTGGAACTGTTTTCCTGTTCTTGCTTTATATAATACTTCAGCTGCTCATCAGTTTTCAGGGTCTCTGTTGTCATATACTGCACTTCATAATGTAGCATATTTATTAATGGGAGACAGGTCTGGACTGCCAGCAGGCCAGTTTAGCACCTGCACTCTCTTACTATGAAGCCACATTGATGTAATATGTGCAGAATCTGGCTTGGCATTGTCTTACTGAAATGAACAGGGATGTCCCTATAAAAGACATCGTCTAGAGGGCAGCATATGTTGCTTCAAAATGCATATGTACCCCTCAACATTAATGGTGCCTCAAAAGATGTGCAAGTCACCCACTAACACCAATCCCATACCATTGGCACTAACATAAACCTGTACCATGACAGAACCTGGCTTTTGAACTTTTTGCTGGTAATGACTGGGATGGTCCTTTTTTGGTTTTGCCTTGCCCTTTATGCACAGAGATTTCACAGAGATTGTCTGAATCTTTTGATGATATGTACTGTAGAGTGTGAAATCCCTAAAATCCTTGCAAATGCTTGTTATGGAATGGTATTCTTAAACTTTCAACACTTTTTTTTGGCAAAGTGGTGAGCCTTGATCCATCCACACTCATAAATGGCTCCACCTTTCTTGGATGCTTCTTTTATACCCAAGCATGATTGCATTACTTGTTTAAGAGTTGTGTTTTTTGGAACACTTCACAGCATTTCCGGTCTTAAATTGCCCCTATCCCACCAACTTTTCTGTGACATGCAACAGGCCTGAGTTTCAGAATAACCATTTATTTACAAAAAAATAATTATGTTTGAAAGGTAAAGCATTAACTATTTTGTCTATACTCTTTATACTCCTTTCATTTATATGGAGATCAAAGTAGATTTACAAATCACTGCTTTATATTTTATAGGGATTTTTCCTACTGTACCAACTTTTTTGGAACTAGGTTTGTAAATCTGAGATCCACCCTGATGAAGTGCAGACTCAGAGACCATGGCCTGGTCAGAGGGAGAGGCAGATACAATAAGTCTTGTCTGCCTAAAGGACAATGAGTGTGTCAAGCACTGCCAACTAATAAGACTGACAAAGAGCTGCACTTTCTAAATGAAAGCACAAAGTTCTGATTCTGATATGGAATATGAATTTGATCACATTTTGGAATCTTAACAACACAGAGAATCTAATGTATGTTCTAGTTGAACGCTGATATAAGTTCTGGCACTGCTGTGGTTAAATGCAGTAGGGTATATGATGGTAAAATAAAGTATTAAAACTTAGTACCCACTAACTGTTACTATTGTATAGTAACATCTACCATTTCTCATATAAGTACATGACTGAAGCTGCCCACCGCCCCGGGCAAGTGTGCTCACTGCCCCCTAGTGTGTGTGTGTGTTGACTAGTGTGCATGTATGTGGGTGTTTCACTGCACGGATGGGTTAAATGCAGAGGTCTTATTCCTCTGTGTGCAAACACAGTTGGCTAATGGTTCTGAAATTTGAATGTGTTCAATAATGATACGTGTCCGGTTTGGATAAGGAGTGTCTGGCCGCTTACCATTTCACGAGCAATCACCGTGCAGAGTTCCGGCCCTGGAGGAGGGACCTGAATTTTAAAAGCAGCCCTGCAAAGCTCGTTGAGAGGCCTGCGTTCTCTCTGTGCTCCAAGCTGTTTAGTGTACTCCTGGGGCCATGTTACAGAAAATTCATAAGTCTGAGATCATATCTTATCTGCTTTGTTGTCATGGCAACTTCAGTTAAGACTGAAGTTAGGACAGAAGCCATTACAGAGCAACAGTTCTAAAGTCTATAATCTTATCTTATTTCCAGATAAGAAAAAAAGTATTACAGAAACATCCTAAGTCGCCAAAATATCCTAAATAATTTCTTAACTTTAAGACCAACCCAGAGCGTCTTACCTTCTGTTTTAATTGTCTGTTTCTTTTGTTTTATGCAGTGATAAGCAGCACAGTTCACTATAAGTAGCATAATGACTCTACATTTTTCTACACCGAAAACTGTGTTTTGACGTCTTAGTTTTTTTTTTCTAACAGCGTTTCAAAGCCCCAGACACTGCAAACATGAACTCTACCATCCCCTCTTATTACCTTTTTATGTTATTGTTGATTAAAAAACTCATTAGATACAATATTACAGTGATGGTGGTGAATAATGAGGAGACAGAGCTGAACGTGTGTCTGTTTATTAGGAGGAGTAATGTTAGCGCGCTCGGCTAAAGCGTTTGGGAAATGGAGACTGAAACTGGGGAGCAGCGACGCTCTGATAAACAACGAAGCGCTGAAACAATATTCTTAACTTTCAGGTTATCGCGCTTTAGTTGTGTTTGACCTTTTTACATCGGTAATGGTAGCTAACGTTAGCTGTCTGGCTAACTAACTTGATTACGTGTTTATGTTTCAGCTGTGTGCATATGGTCAGTTGCTAGGTAACAGACGTGACAGTTGATTGTCAACTTTAATCAAGTAAGTTACGATTTCCTAACTTCAGATAAGAAAAGATTCTGCAAGATAAGATTCCTAAATTAAGATCAGTTTTGCTTCTGTTATACGAATTTGTGAAAAATCTTATCTTGACCTGTCAGATCTTAAGTTAAGACAAAAAATTAGGAAGTTTCTGTAATACGGCCCCTGGTCTTTGTTATATAAAACGCAGACACCTACGCTTTGTACTCTTTTGCTCATGTAGTTTCGTGGGTATCTGCGCTAGCTTTGTCATGCCAGATGGAGATTTGTCTAGACCGTGTCAGCTTGTGCCTTCATGCCACAAGTTGTTAATCATGCTGGCTTTATTGCCTTGGGCTGCTACACCACGTAGCAGCCCAACGTATAGACACATTAGGTAAGGGGCGAACGCAAATCTTTGTATTTATTTTTTTGGTTTAGGTAAGATCAGCGTAGATATCAGTGATAGATATTTTGTTTTTCTGGTTTGTGAGAACTTAAATTAAAGAGCTAGGGTAGTGTTTTTTCTTTTTGTTTGTTTTGATGATTTCATTCCTTTAGCGCCGTCCAGGACCAGAATCTCGTTCTCTTTAGCAGCAAGCTTATTTGCCATTTTGTAAATATTGTAAATATTCATGTTTTTGGAGGTCTCACTGTGGTCCTTTACCCTACTTTACCCTTACTTTACCCCAGCATACAATAAATGGAAAAACAGTAGAATCCGATTCATGTCTTGCTCCTTCTTGGTTCGTGCTCCAAATATCACATTTTATGTTACTGACCCCATTATCCCCTAGACTTGCCTGTGGGGTCGTAATAATAATGCAAGCTAGGTTTCATCAGAGGTGAATGTAATGCAGTCCAGGGGTGAGCACAGTCTAGGAGAGTTAGACCAGTCTGGAAGAGTTACTGCAGATTAGGAGAGTGAGAGCAGAGAGTGAGCACAGTCTAGGAGCAAGAGAGCAGTAACAGAGTAAGCCGCATTGTAGGAGAGGAAGAGCATGCTAGGCGCATGAGCACAGTCTAGAACAGTCAAAAAGATTAACAGTGGTCTAGGGGAATGAGAGCAGACTGGGAAAGTGAGAGCCATCTAGGTGAATAAGAGCAGTCTAGCAGAGTCAGCTGCAGTTGTGAAGAATGACCTCCATTTATAGACATTAGAGCCTACATAAACTAGGATACATACGCTGAAGAGCTTTGTCAGAAATAAACAACAAGCACATAATTACTGCCTTCAGTAGTTCAATCATTTTGATTCCACCACACACACACACACACACACACACACACACACACACACACAGACTTCCAAACACAATTATTCATACCCGAGAGTGCTCAGTGAGCACTGTGGATCCTCCAGTCTAGCAGAGAGCAGCTTCACTCTTGATTCTTCTGGGTGGTTGTAGGTCAGATCCAGTTCTTTCAGGTGTGAGGAGTTTGAACTCAGAGCTGAAGCCAGAGAGGAACAGCCTTTCTCTGTGATCATACAACCAGATAATCTGCAGAGAGAGAAAAAAAGAAGAAAATAAACAAAAGAGTGAGGGAGATGATTCACTTTGGTGTCAAATAGAACTTAACAAAAAAATACTAAAACACATAGTTGCACACAATTTTAAAAAATATGAAAACATACTCAGGGACATTCTCTGGCAAGAATAGAAGATCTCAATATAAATAACAGCATCCAGTTGATTTAGTCATGTGACGTAAAGCCATGTGACAAAGAAGGGTGTTTTTTAGTCCAGTTTCATTAATCCTCAGAACCTGATTAACATATTTTGTAGGCATTCTTCATGCCATCTTCTCAATTTCATAACTCAGAAACATATTAACTTCCAGACAAGAAACAACACAACGATCAGCAGCTCTTATCCTAAATATACTAAATTTATTAAATATGGCACTAATCAGATTCAGAATCTTTATCCACCAAGTACCTGATGCACAACGAATTTCTTTTGGTGCAGGTGTCAACGTGAAACAAATAAAATAAATCTAGAAAAAAATATAATTAAGATCCTGCTGAATGGTAATGCCCAGAAACTTGTAAGGTTATGCTTTGCTAACTCTGGAGCCTTGTATTTCCAAAGGAGGCAGTCAGTATGTTTCTTTCTGAAATCAATGGTCATTTCCCCTTTGTTTGTGCTTAGCTCCAGGTTGTTAGCTCTGCACCATGACACCAGCCGCCACATTACTTTCTCCTGATTAATGGATTGTTGGAGATGAAACCAATCATGATAGTGTACTCTGCAAACTTAATAAGTTTAACAGAGTCACTGTTAAACAGACAGTCATTGAGAGAGAGAGATTATAAGGGGGGGAGCAAATAGCCCTGTGGAGCACCAGCGCTGAGGGTTTTTTTGGCAATTGTGATTGCTTTGTTGAGTGCATATTTTGCTCTTTTGGATGCATCATGGTCACTACAGCTATAAGCCTCTTCCTTGGTTGTGTGCAGTTTCCAGAGCTCATTGGAGAACCAGGATTTATTATTGTTTTAAATGTAGATTTTTAAGGAGTCCTAGTCCATTCAACATTGAGTTTGGTGTGGTTGAAGTCTTTCATAATGATGATAGGAGAGTCTGAGTGTTCAATCTCCATTATCTGGTCAGCCAGCTGTTGTTGTGTTAAGCTGGCTTGTGCCAATTTGGGGGGGCGAGGGGGGCATAAACCCTGAAATAAAGAGTAAACCAGAATTATAGAGTTAATTCATGAGATGAGTAGAATGGCTTGCAAGTGATACTAGGAGCTTCCAGTTCAGGAGAGCATGTTCTGGCCAGAAGAGTTGTGCCTCAGCACCACCTCTGGTTAATGTAAAAACATAGTGCTCCACCTTTGGTTTTGTAACTGGGTTGTGGTCCACTCTGTACAGTGAAAAGTTGGGCAGCTCCACTACGATGTCAAGAGTAACTTCATTTAATTACCTCTCACTGAAGCAAATGTTGAAAGGTCCTTTGTTATTCTTACCAGCAGTTTTAATTCACCCATTTTGTTTTTGATTGAGTGCATGTTGGAGAGAAATATGTTTGGAAATGCCAGTTCAAAAGCCATGTCTCTGAAGTCGCGTGAGTGTATTGCCATGTATCCTGCATGTCTCCTGCTCTCCTTCTCTTTGCTGCAGGAGGATGGCTGGTGATCTCCCAATGAGTAACGCTGAAGAATCTCCACAAGTATAATATGAATTAAAAAAATTATTTTGTGGAGTTAAGCCCCAAATGTACAGATGCTCATACCAGTTGAAAATTTGCCAAACGGTGACTCCATGTGCAATTTAACAGGCAAAACACACAAACACATGACACATCAAAACACTGTGGCTACCTCTCAGGGTGCCATCTTGTCTTCCAGCAATGATCTGCAGCAAAGTAAGCCAGTTTAAGATTCAGAACCTCAGTGCTTATGTTGGTATCATTTTCATTCTAAATGCAAATAAAATATAGTGTTCGCTTTGGTCTGAAATGTTTATCTTGTATCTCTGAATGAGTGTAGATCATCAATTTTTAGTAATTAATCTCAAAGATTCATGAAGTTACATATCTAAATTTGTACTAATGTAGCCTCCTGGTAGTAAAACTGTTGTTAGGCTTATTGCTTTGTAATTACAAATGAAATAAAAATCAAAAAGTGTGTGTCAAAGTGTGTGTCATCATCTGAGAGCAGATTTGTATTTTAATCCAATATATCTGTGTAGCCACCTCCACTACAGCACTCTTCAATACAGACACCTAGGAAACAAAGACTGAAAAGGAGAAACTCCCTAAGAGCATGAGGAAGAACTGAAGAGTAGGACTGAGAGGAACCAAGAAAACATCAACCTCTGGTCTGCAATGGGACGAGCAATTATAGACTTATAGAGAGCAATTATATAGGAAAAATAAGTATTAGGATGAAACAGAAACTGCAGCATGAAAATACTGATGCATTTAAAAACATGTTGTAATGAATGTTTAAATTAATCCTGTCATCTGTAAGTGTTGTTCTAGAACGCAGTTTCTTCCTACTGTAGCAGTAAATACACTATATTGCCAAAAGTATTCGCTCATTTACCTTCACATGCATATGATCTTGAGTGACATCCCATTCTTAATCCATAGGGTTTAATATGATGTCAGCCCACACTTTGCAACTATAACAGCTTCAACTTTTCTGGTAAGGATTTCCACAAGGTTTAGGAGTGTGTTTATGGGAATTTTTGACCTTCTTCCAGAAGCACATTTGTGAGGTCAAACACTGATGTTGGATGAGAAGGCCTGGCTTGCAGTCTCCGCTCTAATTCATCCCAAAGGTGTTCTATCGGGTTGAGGCCAGGACTCTGTGCAGGGCAGTCAAGTTCTTCCACACCAAACTCGCTCATCCATGTCTTTATGGACCTTGCTTTGTGCACTGGTGCGCAGCCATGTTGGAACAGGAAGGGGCCAAACTCCCCAAACTGTTCCCACAAAGTTAGGAGCATGAACTTGTCCAAAATCTCTTGGTCTGCTGAAGAATTAAGAGTTCCTTCCACTGGAACTAAGGGGCCGAGCCCAACATCATCTTTTTTATATAAAAACATACTAAATAACGCTGCTAAGTATTTATGATTCAGTAATGAACTGAAAGAAACACTGACCTGAGTATTTCCAGTTTACAGTGTGAATTCTTCAGTCCATCAGATAACAGATCCATTCCTGAATCCTGCAGGTCATTATTACTGAGATCCAGCTCTTTCAGGGCGGAGTTTTCCTGTTTTAAAAGTGATCCAAGATTTTCAAACGTCTTTTCTCCAAGATTACACAAAGCTAGTCTGTAAAGAAAGAACAAGCATAGATTTTACAACACACTCAAATGAGGACACTTAATTATAACAATAAAAGGTATTTGAATCAATCTTGTATACACCCTGACAAATTCTCTTGTACATTTTAGTTTACTAGGATGGATATATTAAGTTATAGAAAAAGAAATTAGTCTAGAGATGTTTTATTTTGTCTTAAACATCTTCAATAACCTCAAGAGCTTTTTGATTTATAGTTTATGATTTCTTCTTGGTTATGATGCCTATGTGGTGTGCTATATGCGGAAATATATAGATAATATATTCCCAATATATATATACACTTCAAATGTATATACATTATGGCCCTCATTCATCAAAGTTGTGTAAAAAAAATGCAGATTTAGCGACATAGAAACTACTCTATGTCTGATAAAACTTTTGTACGATATGGAATCAAGCAGAAATTCAAGCATAAATGATGAATCAGCTTCAGTCGCAGACCACGGACAGGCTTTATCCTGAGTAGAACATTATAAATGATCCTTGGTGGTCTGTTTTTACCTGCTGAAGTGCTGAAGACTGTGGATGTGTGTACGCTGAGCCTCGAGGTCTTCACCATAAAGCAAAGCTAAAGCGGACTGGGGCCGTTTTGTTTTCACAATGCACAAATCAATCAAACCACAAAACAAACTACAAACGAACCAAATCGAGTTCGGTTTTTTGGGGCCGTTTAGAGGGGTCTGAGTTCATTTGGCATGTTCACATATGCAAAAGAAACCATGAATCCACTTCAGACGCTGCAACGGCCCAAGTGCAAAAACGCCCTTAAGCACGCCCAAATTCATGCGGTGTTTTGGTAAGGAGCCCATTAAACATCATTCAGCAGTTGCTTGACCCAATGGTTGTGCTCATAGACAGAGTCTGAGGTTAAGCAGTGAGTGAACTGCTCCCCCTACTGACCAAACATTAAAGTGTAAAAAAAGAATAAAACTGAAAATAATAAAACATGACATTTTTAAACTTTGTATTATTGCAGTGTATGTGATGGCTTCTGCACTAGCTGTGCCTTTTTTGGTGGTGTTAGTACAAAACAGATGCACAGTGTAATATATTTTTAAATGGAATATGGAATAGTTGCAGCATTTGTCTATACTAATGTGCATGCAAAATAAGTGCATCCACTTTTGAATTGGTTTGTTGTGCACAAATTATTAATATTATTGTTATTTTATTTTTATAATAAATTGATAAATTGAAATAATTGATAGTAAAAATTGAAATAATTCATAATAATTTGGGTTATATAACCACAAGTCAAGAATGTTCTTGAGGCTATAAAACTATTTTACTCAAATCAGATGTGAGTTTGATCATAAAGATATGCCAAAAATAAAACTAATTAATAATGAAACTTATAAATAATAAATAAATAACTGTCTATGACACGTGTTTGTGTTTATTGTGTGGTTTTGACCTTACATGACATTGATGAATAAGGGTCAATGTAACTATTTAAAAAAATTCTAATATGGTAATATTAATACACTTTATATTTGATCCAGAGGTTTGAGCAAACTAGTCAATACTTAGTAGCTAGTTATCAAAGTAGTAGTAGGCAGTTATCAAATCTTGCGGATGCTTTTGGTAGGAGACTTGCTAGGAAACTTTCAAGTCTTGTTTTTGGAATTTAAACTCTTCCTTGCAGAACGTTTTTGTTCTGTGATATTCTTTGGTCGTCTTGCATACGCTGCATGTTTAAGATCTACCCACAGATTTCTAATGCTATTCACATCAGGAGGTTGTGAAGGCCATTCCAAAAGTAGTTTATGATGGATTTTGAGGTATATTTTGGATCACTGTCCTGATGTAGAAGTTCTCTTTTCAGCTTATGTTTCTTGACAGTGTTTAACTGCAATGTTTTTTGTGATACTGGCTGCCACACAAACCAAAGCATAAGAAGTAAAGGCATCTGGTTTATTTAAATGTTGTCTTGCATACATTAGAATGTGATGATAAGGCTGCAAGTAAGATGTCCTTCTGATGACTCTTCCAGACTTTGCCCCTGGAAGTCCACCATTTTATAGATTTTATAGTGTTCCCCAACTTTGTAGGCATCAGTTAGCTTTATTTTTAGATCCTTAGCTACTTAATGATGCCCATTACACTCTGGAACTGTCAGTAGACAATTTTTAATGACAGTTAAAAAATGGGTTCTGTGACTTTACATTTGAAAAAGTGTCCACATTTTTGCACATGCCACATTTACTGTTTAATTTTTAATGTTTTTAAGTTAATGAAATATAAAGAGACTGCATTAAAATTTGAAGAAAAACATTACTGTTGCTGTGTGTGCCTGGTCATTTTCTATTGTGATATACCCAGTCTTCTTCTGTGTGTTGAATGTGATCTGCTTAGAAACTAAAATTCTAAAAGCTGATGTTATCTTTAAAATAAAATTTCTGTTAATGAGTGCATGAAATAATCTTTGACTATTATTTTGCTCTGTGACTTTTGCTGGATGTCAACAATATATTACTTAGAGAAAGAATTTGTAACATTGTAACGTTACTCAGAGATCAGGAGAAAAGTACTGGCAGTGGACATGACTTAATCAAAGTTTGTGCTGGATTGTCATGTTTCCTGTGTTGTAGCACAAGGAAAATATATTTTCTTTTTCTTCAGGCAAATTTTGTTTTCACTGTTTGGCTCTCAAATCACTCTTTAGCAGTTCTGATACTTCTGCATAAATGTGATTAAACTATACATGTCTCTTTACCTGGAAATTTAGTATTTCTCAATTTGTGATTTAAATTAAAGCCTTGAATAAACACAACTCCACCATCTAACTGTATTTTTCTTAAGATGAAACATCTCTGTACTGTTGACAAACTTGCAGCAATAGTTCATTTTCTTACCATTTCTTCATTATTTCACTAAAACATGTCAGGTAATATTTATAAATAAAGACATATTAGCCTTCATAAAAATGGCTTTAAATCTTATGAGCTTCCTTCCAGAAAAAACTGACAGGAACACTGACCTGAGTATCTCCAGTTTACAGTCTCCAGTCTTCAGTCCAGTAGAGAGCAGCTCCACTACTGAATCCTTCAGCTCATTGTTACTAAGGTTGAGCTCTTTCAGGGTGGAGATTTTTGTTTGTAGGGCTGATATGAGAGATTTGCAAGACTCCAGAGTGAAATTACACATGGCTAATCTGCAAAGAGAGAGTAAATACCTTAGAGAACACCGTTCAGTCAAAAACATGGAATCACACAGAAATACTTTAATTTGACTTATAAAGAGAACATAACTCCAACCTATTTTATATTTCTATTACTCAGGGTAGTGAAAGACAGAGTAGTTAATGTCTTTGCAGAATTGATGGAATGATTTTTTAGTTATAGATAATTTACCAGACATGGGGATCTATAACAACTTTGATAAATGTAAAAACATACACAATTGTGTATGTTTAAAATAATTATAATTAATTAACTTACAGATACATAGATACTTTGCTGCTGGTTTATTATGTACACCTACACTATTCATGTACTCCTATCAGACTCACTGGCCAATTATGTGCACTAATTCTGTTCTTAAAAACCTAAATGTGATCAGAAAAAGTGTTCAGTTGGTAATCCCTGCTGCTGAATTAAGAATCTGCTACTCTGCATTGTGACATTAGGCTATCTTTAAACTTTTATGCAACTTCACTTGCCTGAAACTGACATGAATCTAAAATTCATTTGTATTGCATAATGTAGCACATCCTGCAAATCATCTGAAACTCAGCCAGAGCAGTAGCATGGACAGTTTTGATGGACAAGAAACTAAAACAAAGGGTTATTTTGGTTAGATTCAGTTAGCCAGTTAAAAGTTAAATTGTGCTAAAGTGTTCTGCTTTGATAGTTTGCTACAAGCTATCATGTAAGAAGGTTTTTATTCCCTTATTATTTTTTTCTCCTCTGTTTATTGAAAAATCATATAAAGATACAAATGTACATTCTTGGGCAAAAAAATGGGCCAAGCCCAAATTGGCAAAACATTAAGCTTTGGTAACAGTTTATTGTGAGAGGTCATTTGTAGGTGATTAATAAACTTTCAACAGATTATCAGTAACACATCAACAACACATCAGTGAAGTAAATATCCTGAAGATGTACTGTTGATACATTACTTATATTTAGTAGATGTATTGTCTACAAATATGAACTTGGACATTCCAAATAAAGTGAAAAACAGCTGAATTCAGCAGATTATAAACAAATTGTATTTATGTAGTAAATTAAAAGTATCTTGATGACCTACTGAATGTATCCACTGCTACTACATTATTGATATGTTACTGAGAGTCTGTTGAGTGTTTATTTAATCTTGAAAGGACCACTCAAAATAGTGTCACCTAAGCTTTTAATGGACTTAACAACAAATCATTAAACGAACAGATAAAGTAACTTTATATGGAATTGATTTTCCCTTTGGTCTCTTTGAAGGTGAACACATTGTCAGTGACTCCTTTGGGAACATTTTTTTTGGAGGACACAGCTGTAACTTAACTGTTGGAGACTGTAATGATGGAAGAGTTAAAGTGGAAATAGCTGCACAAAAGTAAAGACTGAACAAATTAAATGTTGGCAGATTTAATATTATATTCAGTGTTGAATGCTTTTATGTAATTTTCTGTTATTTCCTGCTTTTTGCTGATGCTGAAAAATGGAAAAACTTGCACTTAATGGCTATTTAGCCTGGAAATTAAATAAATGAAAGAGTGGTTTCTTAATTTTGCAAAATACTGTATAAACATGAGTTGCATACTTCTATAATGCTGGAATAGAATAGCTCCTTTGTGATTCTGACCTGAGTATCTCCAGTTTACAGAGTTGACTCTTCAGTCCATGGGAAAGGTCCTCCATTCCTGAATCCTGTAGATTATTCTTACTGAGGTCCAGTTCTTTCAGGGGCCAGGTTTCTGCTTGCAGTGCTGATCCCAGAGTGTAACATGTATATTTCCCAAGATTACACAAAGCTAGTCTGCAAAGGGAGAACAAATACAACAGATACAAAAGTTCTACAGTTACAGAGTGTAGTTAATTTACTTAAGCATAACTGGTAAACCCCCTATTACCCCATTAATCAGTGGCCAAGACCCCTACAGGAACTATACTGAGCAGGTATTATTGGGTGGTGGATCATCAAAGACATGGACTACAATCTGATATTATAGAACTACAAAGTGCCTAGTTAGCTAATAATTGGGCAATGGCTTAAAAATAGCTACACTAAAAACATTTCCTCTGTTAAGTAAGGTCAAATATCTATAATATTTTGTGGTTGCTTATCCCTCCAAAAGCCTAGGAGGAGTGTGAGGATACATGACATCAGGGAATCCACAAAGTAAAAGAATATACCAAAAAAGTACCAAAAAGCTAAAAAGTAATTGTGGTTGGACCTTCCAGCAAGACAGTTATCCAAAACATAACTTTAAATATACACAAAAATGTTTCACAGAATTAAGCTTTTGACATGGCCATCCCAGTCCCCTGACCAAAACCCTACTGAAAAGCTGTGAAGAGGAGAGTGCAAAAGAGAAAGGGATCTAGACCATATGGATCTGAGATTCTTTACTGAGGAGGGTCTCAGATTCCTTACTCTGTGTTCTATAATCTTGTCAAATTTTATAAGCTATGTATAGGGAGGTTACACATGCAGGAATGCCAATAATTATAACACCTAGGTTTTAAAAAAAATGATAAGGGTTTTTATTTTCTTACACTAACTTTATTTCTTTTATTTTTTCCTGACCTTTTGTTTTCCCATCTTTACCAAGGATATAATTATAATAATCATGGAAATACTGACCTGAGTTTCTCCAGTTTACAGTGTGAACTCTTCAGTCCAGCAGAGAGCAGCTCCACTCCTGAATCCTGCAGGTCGTTGTTACTGAGGTCCAGTTCTTTCAGTGAGGAGGTCTCAGTTTGTAAAACTGACTGCAGTATGTTACAGGACTGCTGACTAAGTTTACACATACCAAGTCTGCAAAGGCAGAATAAATGTATAATGCTATATTAGTTGGATATTTTCATAGTTCTGGTAAAGAATATATATATATATATATATATATATATATATATATATATATATATATATATATATATATATATACACATGCTGTTGTTGTTTTGTTGCTGTTTATTATTATTATTATTATTATTATTATTATTAACCTTACAATTATTATTAATTTTATGTAATATTCTGACCTGAGTATCTCCAGGTTACAGTGTGAACTCCTCAGTCCAGCAGAGAGCTTCTCCACTCCTGAATCCTGTAGGTCGTTTTTACTGAGGTCCAGCTCTTTCAAGGAACAGTTTTCTGTTTGTAGAGCTGTATTCAAAGTTTCAAGGGACTGTGCAGTGAGATTACAGTCAGCAAATCTACATTTGGGGAAGAAAAGATAGAAAGTAAAATATATAAAGATTTATAAACTGCGGTTTGTATTTGGAATTATCTGAACAATAAAATGTAATGGTATCATTCCATGTAATTTTTTCATTCTTTTACTGGTCTGATAAGGTTTTGAGACACATTTCCTAGGTTCCTCCTTTATTTTCTCCTACTTGCTTAATGGTGATTATCTGTTTGAAGACTTTCCTGGGCTGCAAAGAATCTTATAAAGCAAGAACTCACAGAATAGCTTCCTGCTTTTTAATCTACAAAAGATGTTCATGACTGTTCTCAATTAACCAAGGTTAACCGGTATAATGACTATATACTGTAGTACACAATGTTTACTGCTGTTTTTACTATTACATGATGTATCTTTCATCTAAATCAAGTAAATAGTGATCTATGACATGATACAAAATTAAACTGCTGAACATACAAAATTTACACATTACAACTAAATATATTTTCTCATAACAACAAAATTGTCTTGAGGCTCCCAGAAGAGCAAAACATTCATTATTAACAACCACAGGTTTCTTAGTATGGGATTGCTTCCCTCAATAGTGTTAAAAATATCAGTGAAAACATCAATGATATTCAATAAACAACTCATCTTGTTCTAATACTATGTAAGCCACATTTTTCTTTCGTTCATTGTAAAATAATGTTTTCTCATTTAAATAAGAGCCTGTCTTATTATAATATAATAAACTAAACCTCAACATAATATTTTACCAGTTATACATGCTCAGTCATACTTTAGTGTTTTCAGTGAAATTTACCAATTAAATATTTTATTGAATTAATTTATTTAATGATTTATTTATGACTTTTGGCCTTATCCAGGACTGCAGGAAAAGAAACTGCATAACTTCAAGAGTCAATTTCCAATGAAAAGCAAAAGAAATTATACCCCATCTATGAGACTACCTAGACTTATTTAACATGCTATACAGACCATTAAGTCATAACACAGTATTAATATTAGCTTTATAATATATATGTCAAACACTCACTGAGCCTTTCTGCAGTTTGTGATAGCTGGGATGAGTCTCCTGTATCCCTCCTCTGATGTGTTGTATCTCTTCAGGTCCAACTCTTTCTTCACATTCTCTGACTGGAGACGCATGTAGGTTATGACTGAGCATTGTTTAGGAGAAAGTTTCTTTTTTGAGAATTTATCTGAAATTAAAGGGAAACAACGGAAAGCCTTAGATACTACCATCATCCAGTGACAGAAATTGTTTGAATATATGACTTTCTAGGTATATCTTGAAGTATACAGTAGCAGAGAATTACTTATGTTAAAAAAACCATTCATGAATATTCATTAGCTATATGCTTCTGATGAATTTGGGAATTGTCACTACAACAAATGGCAGATCTACCTATTCTTTTAAAGCTCAATATTTTAAGTGATGTTTTATATAACACTTCTAGGGATGTAAAAATGAGTGTCTGTGATTTTTCCCTCATCACCTCCGTCACCTGTGTCTTGTATATCCTCATCTTGTGAACTTTGAGCTCTCCTGTGTCTTGTGTCATTTGTATGTTTGTCCTTACTTCCAGGGGCACAGCTTTGCTGCATGACCCTGTGTATGACCACTATCTGTCATTAGTGTTTTTAATGTTTAATTTTCAGTTTTTAATTTTCTTATTGTTGGTTTTGTAGCTTATGTGATTTTATGGTTTCATTGTTTTACTTAATTGCTGTTATGGTATGTTTATGTTTACTAATTTCGATACCTCAAAGGGATTCTGGCAACCAGTGTGCAAACTACTCCCTGTTATTCAGGGGGTCCCAAGTTGACTGGCTGCTACCTCACTCACCATGGTGGTGCTGATGCTAGCTTCAATGGCAGCAAAAGGTTTGGGTTAACAATTCTTCTTCTGGAAATTGTCTTTTTTATACATTAGCTGAGATCTTACACGTCTTCTCTTTTGTCTTCTTTTGAAAAATTAGTAACAAACTCTTGGGAAATTGTGCCGGTGTTGCAAACATGCTGCAGCATATTGTAAAGAGATATTCTGGGCATAGTCATCATTCTAGATTATGAAGGACCAACTGAATGAACCAATTTGCTAAAATGCCACCCTGAGGTAGACCAGTGCTGCAGCTCTAGTTAGTTAAAAATATTAAAGACAAGCTTGCTGATGGTGGTTGAAGCAGCTGAACAATAACCTTTCCCTGAATTTACATTTTTCCCTAAGGGACCGAATAAAATTTAAATTTTCAGGGACCCCCTAGAATGTTGATTTTGAGACATTCAGGGGATCCAAGAAAGAGGTTAATTAGGGGATGTTGGATCCCCCAGCACCCCCTCTATTTAGCACCTTGCCAGCAACTCTGAAAATGCCAAGTCATGTGGAGAATAAGCTATGCAGCTCCTTACTATCACTTATTCCCAGGAGTTTTTGCTTTATTTAAGGAATAATAAAAACAGTCTGGGGCCACAGATGATGGTTTTCTCCTCCGGCTACCTTTTAAGAATAAGCAAGAAGTAAAAAGTGAAGAGAAAATGTGCCCGAGGAAGAATTAGAAATTGGCTAAGGGAGCATGGAAGCAGACATCCTCTACCAGTAATCATTTGAACAGATATGCACATAAGACTATGAAATCCTGGTGGTGTCTTTTCACACATTTTTACCCCATGATTTGGGAAGTTAACTACAACCCCAATTATAAGACAGCTAGGACGCTGTGTAAAATGTAAATAAATGTAAATAAAAACAGAATGCAATGATTTGCAAATCTCATAGACCCATATTTTATTCATAATAAACACAGAACACCTAACAGATGTTGAAAGTGAGAAATTTTACCATTTCATGAAAATATGCAAGGCCTTCCCTGAAGGAGACACTGTTTGGGTGGCAGCATATGTTGCCAAAACCTGTATATTTTGTTCAGCATTATTTGTGCCTTCACAGATGTGCAATACACCTATGCCATGTGCACTAATGTTCCCCCATACTATCATGGATTCTGGCTATTGAATTGTGTGCTAATAAAAAGCTGGTAGGCCTTTAGTCTGGAGGATGCAATATCCATTATTTCCAAAAAGAATTTTAAATTTTGATTCATCTGACCACAGGACACTTTTCCACCTTGTTTAGTCCCAGAGAAGTTGGAGGCGTTTCTGGATCCTGTTTATATATGGTTTCTTCTTTGCATGATACTACTTGTGGATTGCATGGCGAACTGTGTTCACAGACAATGATTTCCATAAGTATTCCTGAGCCCATGCAGTGATTTCCAGTACAGAATCATGCCTGTTGTCAATGCAGTGCTGCCTGAGGGCCCAAAGATCACAAGCATCCAATATTGACCATCGGCCTTGTCCCTTGCGTACATTACATTTTACATTTTACACAGCGTCCCAACTTTTTTGGAATTGTGGTTGTATTATATTGGTTTATGTTCTGGGCCCTAATAATACGGAAGGAGCTGAGCACATATTTGATAGTTTTAATGACATGCTTACATGATCAGTTAATCAACCAGTGTTTCCTCCGGGAATTTAACACACTTTCTTTAGCAGCACACCTCCCAATGGTTCCTGCAATATGTTAACTGCCAAACTTGTTTGCCATTCTTGATCTGTGTTATGGCCAGAGTTGTGCAGAACACCTTGAAAAAGCAGTGTTGGCTGAAAACTAAATATATACTGTCTTAAATGTATTCAGTAAAGCTTTCTGTTACAATACATTTAAAAATACATATTCAGAATGCATTTAGAATACACGCTGCTGTATTTTTCATTTAATTTACCCTGTTCCTTGCTGGAATTTTGTTTATCTGATTCTGCTGTTAATACGTTTCATGAAAAATTAATTTATCTAAATGAAGTTACAAAGTTCACTATTTTGGCTCACATCATCTGCTTCACTCCACTGCTACTCCCATAATCCCTCTGCCGTTTCATGAACTAAGGAAATAATTCACCATATCCCAATAAAAAAATCTGATAAATTGGACTACAAAGTGTGTAGCCATGCAATTTTTCAGTTAATGACATGTATGTAACTTGCCACAACAGCACTGTTAAGCCTATCACTTGTGAACATGTTCAATACTGAGGAGATGGTTTAGTTCCATCATCTGTGAAAGGAGTTTAGTAATGCAGAGATTAAATAATGATGTTGTAATACTTGTAGACCATCCTTACAGAATACTTTAGAATATAGTCTAAACACTGTCCAGTATTACGTACTTAAAAACAACTGCGTACTTAAAAATCAGGAATGCCAGAAAAGCAGTCATTTCTATTCTTAAAATTCATGACATTGCATTAGTGCAGAGAATACAGTCGCTGACCAGGGCCAAGGCCATGCAGCAGACAGACAGGCTAAAACGACCTTGAGATGCCACATTGGTTTCACCCAAATTGAGACCGTGTCTCTTCCCCAAATCAAACAAAATTTCAGAAAACCTTGAAGAGTTTGTTCTACCAATCTAATCAATGTCAGTCCAACCAATTCACAATAGCAGCACATTTGGTCTTAAATTAGGACTGCGAAATATAAGGTCCATTTTATCTAAGACCACTGTTGTAAATTAACTTATTACTGACCATGATTTTGATGCTCTATGCCTCACAGAAACGTAGTTTAAACCTGAAGAATACTTTTCTCTAAATAAAGCAACACCCACAGGCTACAATTATGTACATAGCCCTTGTTTAAGTGGCCGAGGTGGAGGCATAGCAAACTTTTATACAAGTACTTTAGGCATTAATCAGAAAGCAGGCTACAAATTTTTGAAATTTTGAAATTCTCTGAAACACAATATATTATTGTTATATCAACACAATTGCTTTCTTCTAGTTTGATTGTTTTGACAAGAACTGTGTTGATGTAACACATTTTTTTTATTTGCAAACACATTTGAATAATGTTTGAATCTGAATAATAAATGATAATAAGTGAATGTGATTTTTAGTATATCAGTAAGTTCAAGACAGAACATGGTCCATTTGAACACTATTTACAGGGGAACTGAGGAGCCATGAAAATATTAACACATATTTACTGCTAATTATTTGCCTATCATTATCTTTCTTGTACATGCACATAATGAACATATGAAAAATTTCCTTTTAAAAAATGTAATTATTTCTAAAAGTAATTAATAAAAAATACCTTTCAAGATGTAACCTGTAAAGGCAATTAATATTATGGCAAAAACTGAAATGCAGATGATGGCAATCTTCCAAGCATGAAAACCTTTTCCTGAAATACAAAACAGAACAAATTTTACAGCTTGTCAAATGCCACATGATGTACTTTGTGATATTTCAAGGATAATGTCATACTTAAGCACTGCCTACCTGCAACAAAAATTAAGTTGTTACATTAAGTCTAGTTTCTTAATAGTAACATTAAGAGAATACTTAACTAATGTGTTACTACACATTTTTATATTATTTGGCAAGATTTGTACTTTATAAAAGTATGACTGAAATTGAATTCTTGTACTTCTACAAGAGAAAAAATATGCTTTATACTCATTTTTACTACTTGAAGTACTTTCAAGAGAAATGAGATTTTTGTTTTTGATTGCCTACAAATTTTTGTTTTTTATATGAGTATATTCATGGAACTGCTTGCATCTATGCTAATTCTTCTTCCAGTATCTCACATTAATCAAAACAACACGCATGCAGAGTTTGTTAAAAGTGGTTCAGACATGGCAGATTCACTAGTCTGACATGTAGAATGTGATCAGCTACTTCTTTTTACACCATACCAATACTTTTACTCAACTCTGACATTGTCTCACATGTTACATGTTTGTAACACACAAGTAGTTTCATTAAATGAATGGTTTGGTGAAAAATCACATTTACACAACTTCCCACTTATTATTTTCCCACAGATGTAGCCTATCATCCAAGTCCTGTTGTCTAAGTGTTGCTTCTATAGTTTAGTACTGGATCTACGTACAAGTCTCATGTTGCTAACAAAAACTTGAATTCAGTAGACACTCAAATCTTTTCTGTAAACACATCCCAAGAGCTTCACTTATGGCTACCCATATTTGCCATGTTATTGTAAACCACAATGATCTGTCTGCACAACCTTAATGAAGACCTATATGCGGTTTGAATAGGTTGAGAGAAGTGTTGGGGATGTATAAATGGAAAAGATTTGGTAATTATTGAGTTTGCATGTTCTCCCCGTGTCTGCGTGGGTTTCCTCCAGGTGCTCTGGTTTCCTCCCACAGTCCAAAGACATGCAGTCAGGCTAACTGGACATGCTAAATTGCCCCTAGGTGTGAGTGTGTGTTTGAATGTATATGTCTGTCTGCCCTGCGACGGACTGGCAATCTGTCCAGGGTGTATCCTGCCTTCCACCCAGTAACTGCTGGGATAGGCTCCAGGTCCTCAGTGACCCGAAGGATAAGCAGCTTAGAAGATGTGTGTGTATGTGTGTGGGTGTGTGGTAATTATTGACTTTTACTGTTTGTTAACAATATTAGCCTTGTTGCTCCAGCACTAAACTAAAGAAGCAATGTCCAACAATATTACAACATGAGGCTATTTCCTGTTCCTCACAGCAGAGCAGACATCACTCTCCAATACATACACCCTATTGTCATACAAAACAATAGCAAGACTATGCACATCAACCAGAATACTGCATTCACATAAACCAGGGGTGTCCAATCTTATCCACAGAGGGCCAGTGTTGCAGGTTTTCATTCCAACAAAGCAAGAGGTCACCTGATCAGCAGTTTGAAAACTGAAACCAACTAATTAAACAAGTGGAATAGGCTTGTTTTGAGTAAAAAAAAATCTGCAGCCACACCAGCTCTTTGTGGATAAGATTGGAAACCCCTGACATAAACAAAATGCTGAAACACCCTCAATATAAAACCCTGTGTCTGCTTACCACAGGCTCAATTTTGGCCCAAAGAAGATGACATAACTGAGTTAAATTCAGACAGCTGAGATGAACAAAGGTGAGGAAAAACAACACAACACAGCAGAGGATTGTACTGATGACCCTTTGCACATTTTTGTGTTTTCCCTACTGTACCACAAGGTGTATGGTATTTAGTTAATGAGTTGAATTAAGTGGGTGCGATAAGACAAAACACAAAAATGTGCATAGTGCTGGGTCACCATGACTGGGATTGGCACAGCAAGCATGGTAATTTTTATAGGCTGTTTATGTCTGATTTGATGCACTGAAGTAAACATTTGCTTTGACAGCCCATTTTAGCTTTTGTGCTTTTGTATTAAAAGAGTGATAACAACATTAACAATATTTTACATACTGTTTTTGGCTTTGGCTGTGGGAAAAGAACATGATCCAGGTCAGATATAATTATTCTTGCCAATCTAATGGCACAGTGCTCATAAACTGCACTACGTGAAGAGTGCTGGTTACCACCAATGACTTTCCAAGCAGAGAACTAATGCAACCTTGTGGTACCCCTGTACTTAAGGTTTTCACATCTGAAAGACATTGGTTGACCTTGACCTGTTGTGTCCGATTTGATAGGAAGGTATAGTACACGATAGCATCATCTGTGCCTCTTTTATGTCTGTATGCAAACTGGAAGGGATCTAAAATACCATTGACCTCCACTTTCAGTACGTAGACAATGTACCTTTCTCAGTGCTGCCACTGAAGTCAGAGCAACAAGTTGAAAATCATTATTTTCCTTACAACAAGCTTTTTTTGGAACTGGAATGTCCAAAGACATTTGAAAAATGGGGTGCCATGGCGCAGCTAACTCCACATTACACTATTTTAAAATAAAAGCAGAAATCCCAACTGGCCCAGTGACCTTCCTCTGATAAAGTTTTGAAAACAGGGACTGCACCATAATTTGATCAATCACTAATCTTGGCCTTTGCCCATCACTCTTCAGTTTGTGATCTAGCTCCTGTACTGAGGAAGCATTCCCCGAGTCAAATCTACAAAATAATTCATTTATTAGCTTTTCCAACCTTATTCATTGTACTAATGCATCTCCTGCTTGTATCCATATTAGCTATGGTTTTTAAAACTACCTACATTTCCCTGGAATTCTTCCAGTTACACTGCTCCTCAATTGCGTCTATCAGTGCAAATTGAGTTCTTTAAAAAGCCATCTTTTTATGATTGATAAAATCCTTAACTTCTTTTGTGACATAAGGCTTATTGTTATGGTATACTGAAATAACCTTTTGGGAACCACAATGCCAACACATAAATTTATGTAGTCTGTGGTAACCACTGCTGAATTATGTATGTCTTGCTTGTGAAAAATGTCCCAGTCCATGGTTATAAAACATCCTTTTCATCCTTTCAGGTACAGTCTGTGTTGGCATCACTTGTTGGCTTGAAATTAATATACAGATGAATTAATACTTTTATTACAAATTAACAATTCATAATGATGTTACACTGAAAATATGTTCTTACCTTTAACTTCGACATAAACAGTCACATCATCATTCAAGAAGACAGATTCAATGTAACATTTATAAGTTCCTTCATCAGAAAGTCGTAATGCTGAGAGTTTCAGGGAGGTGTTTCCTTTCCGCAGCTCTTCTTTAAATAAAGCTGTTCTCCCTCTGTAAGACTCCATCTGATATTCATTTCTGTCTTCATAACCTTCATAGAGATGCACTAGAGTGTCTGTCTCATGCAGTCTAAACCACTCTATTCTCATATCCACAGCACTGATGCTCGGTTTGATAGAACAGGGCAGAACAAGGTCTTCGCCAGCATCAGCAACAAGAGGAGCAGCTGGACCAACTACTTTAAAGTTCTCTGCAATGAAGAGCAAACAGGACATACAATAATATAATAATGCAATAAAAAACATTTACATAACATATATGTAAATATATAACATATACAAAACATTTATATTGCTTCCTTGTTACTCCCACGTTATTTGATGAGCACTAAACTGTTTCAGCATAGTAAATGCATCTGACAGAGGCCGAAACATCATGATTTTAACTATTTTCCTTATCTAATTATTTATAAAACTGAAGATATGCAAATGAATCTTAGTCTTTGTTACCCGTATTTTAGATGTATGTAACCACGGATAAAACAATTATTAATATAAATTGAAGAGAATCCATTCTAAATATGCTATGGGTGGAATAATAGAGATCCTCTCTCTCACACATGCATGTGAACACACAAACATACATAAAGCATTTTACATAATAGTGCATACATACCTGACATAGACTCCAAAAAGTCAGAGAAAATCAGAAGCATCACAAAGAGGAACTTCATCCCTAAAAAACAGATTGAATGGAATTTTTACTATCTATTTTTGCCACATTTTTCATATGTTAACTTTCATGTAGTGGACACGCAATCTCAAAAACAGCATGAAAATTACTGTTCAAAAGTGACCACCCTTCAATAAGTAAAAGTTACAAATTGTTCAGTATCAGAAAAAAGCAGAAATCACACATTTAACAGAGAATTACACAGAAGCCTCAAATACATGTCAAATTGCTCTACGCTTTGACTTTATTACAGCTTCTATTCTTTCCAGGAGACTTGCTTTCAGTTTTTCAAAGAAATCTGCAGGGACCATTTTCCACATCTCCAAAGTTCAGTCTTAGAAGCAGGTTGCTTTTTCTGCTTCTCTTGATCCAAGTAGTTTCAAATGTATGTAGTGATGTTGAGGTCTGGACTTTGGGGCGGGCAGTCATTCTATTACTCTGAGAACACCAGCAGCTTCTTTGCATGATTCTGTTTATTTCTTATTCTTTTACATCTATTTCCTTTTCTCAGTACGGGCTTTTTGACAGCTACACATCCTTTTAGAACCATACATGAAGAAGTACACTGTTCTGTAAGCTACCTGACCAAGTTGACTTTTTACGAAGCACACAATAGAGAAAGAACGCCACTCATATCTTCTGATCTGTCAAACTCTTTCTGTTCCTCATCTTCACAGTCACTTCACTTTCAGTTATTGGAGGTTGAAGCTGAAGTTTTTGGTTGACAAAAAGTGAGTAAGTGAAACCAACACTGAGAGAGCTCCTTGTTTTTCTTTTCAGTGCTGCTTATTTGTGCTTAATTTGTGTGAATTATGGCATGAGAGCATGGTTTCCTCATAACACAGCCATGTGATTTCTACTGTACCTTAAATCCAAAACCAATACAATAAAACTTATTCTATCATGTACATCACTGTAGTTGTATTAATACCTACCAGAAATCTGTCAAGAATATATATTTTATTACTATGATTTTTTTTTTACTTTTAGCCATGTCCATAGGCCATCTCAAGAGTAGGGCCTGGAGCAACCATTCCCCTGCTGGCTCTGCCTCTGTTAAATGGACACTGTGAACAGATAATTTTTCATGAATTTGTCATGGAGTTTGAGAATGGTGCTATATAAATATATATTTTATCATTTTATCATTAAAGAAAACACTAAACTATGTGCTGCTCAGGCTCTTCAGGCTGACACTGAATAACAAGATTGTAGACTGAAGAACTTCCACAAACTCAATATTAATAGAAACAACCAAATTTTGAGCAAACAGTGCTTGACCATTTGAGCAAATAATCTCTAATGATTTTTAATTTGCTTTTCTCATTTAATGACTTCTCAATCATGTTGCATTTATTTAAATGTGTAAAAACATAATCTAATCAAAAAAGAAAATTCAGTTCAATATATTACACATACTCAGCTTCTCCACTGTTTATAGTGATAATCTATTTATAACTTTCTTTTTTATTTAAAAATAAAACCAGTTGGAGCATAAGTATCTGAAGTCTAACTAAACTAAATAATCTTCCAAATATGTGTGCACGCATTAGTGCATACAAGTTTGTCATGTTTAGATCTTAACAGATCATTTTTATGGCTAATACTAATTTCAAGGGGCTAAAATTTGGTAGCATTTTATTTTATGGTATGGTAAACAAACAGTATTTAATAGGTAAATATGTAGTACTTACAAGTAATAACCATAACCATAATTTAAAATACCAATTATTATATATAGAATAAATGTACTGGAGAAAGATACTTGCTGAGTACTCTGTGGTAGTGGAGTACCCTGCAATGTTTGAACCTTCATCATCTGTATCTGTAATCTCCTCTTCTCTATTACATAGGTGTTTCCTAAACAAGTTTGGTTGTACTTACTACTGTGTAACTTCTCAATACTGTGAAACTTCTTAGAATTGAATGGGGAACTATAGCTGGTCTTTCTCACATTACTTAGTCTATACTTATATATGGGATTTGCAAAGTTTGCACCAAGTATTACTTGTAAACACTCCATATTTACTTGCCATTAACGTCTGGGTGAATACTGCTATACATACCTTCCACATGCTATGGACGTGCAACGTACCAGAAAATGGCATGTACTAAATATTTACCTATTAAATACTACGCAATTACTGTACCACAGATAAAGTGTGACCAAAAATTGTAACAGAACCAAAATATTGGTAGACGTTTTATATCTATATTTTAATTTTAAACTTCAATTTTGGTTAAACAGTGATTTACTGACATATATGACTGCTAAAGAGAATGTACCCAGAATTCTTAGGGGTTTTTAGTTTCTGCTTTTTATTTTTTTCTATTTACTTTTACTTTTACTTCTATTTTAATTTTATTTTTATGTGTTATATTATTTTCATGCTAAGTGCAAAGACCACTGCGCACCCAATATGATGTGCCAGCTAAATTAGTTGCACATATAGTAAAACGCAGCTGTACTAACTGGTTTACTTTTGATTCCACTTTTCTACCACTAGGGGTTTTTGCATAGGAGGAGAAGTGAGGTTTGTGCACAAAACAGCTAATACAAACGGCTGGAAAATGAGACTCCAGGAAGTGTGTGTGTGTGTGTGTGTGTGTGCATGTCTGAATCTACATTTCATCAGAAAAACAAAACTAGTTCCAGATTCCACACAACAACAAACCACATTCCACATGCAGCGTTTCCTTCTGGCAGCTTCTCCTATCTCAACACAGGAGCACCAGAGCTCTGTCAGAGTGATTATGGTCACCTCCCTGACTTGCTTCTCCATCATTTGCTCAATTTGGCCAGATAGGCAGTTCTACAGAGAGTCTCAATGATTTTTTAACTTCTTGATGTCCAGTCAGCTGAATTTACCACAGACACAGGAGCTCTAACACAGCGGTTCAGACAGAGGGTGAATAGAGATGAACAGTTTGAGAAAAATAATGTTTTTGGAAATAAAATTATAAACACTGAAAAACCATAATGCAGCCATATTTTGCCATATAGAATAACTGCAATTGTTAATGCATATCATCAACAGTTCCACAATCGGTCAAATACACTTACTGATGTCTGAATAAACTGCATAAAAATGACGTGCTGTATGTAATGAAAGTACTCCTACAGCCACAACTCTCTCACTGCCTCACATGTCATGCAGTCAGCATTGATTATCACTATGGCTCCGCTGTGCTGAAACTGGAAAATTGTCAATGCTTTCCCCACAGAGCACTGGAATGGTCTCCCCAACCTTCCCTGGCTCAAAGTATTTCACTTCTCCAGACTTAGTGGGGTTCCTCACAGAGTAGCAGAGTGGACTTCTCAGCCTGCTCACTAGCAACCTCTACTGGGATAGATTCACATCTCGTCTGCCACTCCAGATCCCCTGAATAAGTTGTATGTGTGTTCAGCCCATGTGATGAATATTAGGGACAGTGACTCAATCCAATTTACAGTTCATTGGCTTTCAATTTGATTCAAAAAAAAAAATTATGAAAAATTTGCTTTAATTTGATTTTTTTTTTTTACTCTAAACAGCAAGACAATTTGGAAATTCAATTCAGCACCTTTATGATTTTTTATAAAGAATTACATGTTATTAAATAAAATATAATGACTGCCTAATTAATATAATATAATATAAAATATAATAGACTTCCATAATATTTCTCTAGTAAAAACCTGAATCAGTCAGATTACTTCAGTAATGTTTATTACAACAAAGGTAAGTCAACAATAGAACATGCTCTAAATTGCTTGGACACAAGGCATATGTGTGTTTGTGTGTGTTTGTGTGTGTGTGTGTGCCAAATAAATCTAAATATTGACCAGTGACTATACACACAAACAGGAGATGGCACAGATAAAATAAAATTCACTTTAGGTGATTAAAATGATACAGACCTCACAGGGTTCTCAGCATAGGAGTCGTAAGATAATTTGAGGGGTCGTGACGTGGTCTTCTATTTTGGATTACATGACTGATTTATAAAATCTTTCCAGTGTCTTATATTATTATATTGTTGTGCCTCCCGTAGTGTTTCATGGTCAGTAGTTAAATCAGTAGCGCTGTGTGGACTTTGATCTATATTTATATAATTCTGTTTAGAATTTTGATGTCATCAGAGAATGTCTGTAATGAACTGATTGCAGTGACAGTGGAATACAACTACCAGTTTGGAGGAAGGATAATGATGTGAACATAATTAAAAAATAATTTATAAATAAAAACTGCATGTGTGTGATAGGAAAAGAGTGAGAGAATGAGGATGTAAGCAAGAGAGAGGTGTGTAGCTGTTGTTGTCAGTAGTTCCAAGACATAGTTTGAAGTGTTTTAAAATTTTGTGTGTGTGTGTGTGTGTGAAAGTAAGAGAGAGAGAGAGAGAGAGAGAGAGAGAGAGAGAGAGAGAGAGAGAGAAAGAGAGAGAGGGAGGGAGGGAGGTGGGATGGATGTGTTTTTGTTGTCAGTAGTGATTCACATTCTTTGGCTCCAGTTCAGTTTCTGAATGAAAGATGAAAGTAACCAGTTTAACCCTTCTGAGTTCCAAGACACAGTTTACCTGATGTGTGTTAAAACTGTGTGTGTGTGTGAGAGAGAGAGAGAGAGAGAGAGAGAGAGAGAAAGAGAGAGAGAGACTTTCCTTGTGGTCGCAGGCTCCATTGGTATCTGTGTTGTTGGACCGAATTTTAACATGAAAGGACCTTTAGCTGAACACAACTTTTAGTGTCATCTGAAAGTCTACTTTAGATCTAATGATAAGCAGCCTGAAGCAGCTGCAGTGATCTCTGAGTGGGATTTTAAGGTGCTCAACATTGTTTTGGTCAGTAGCTTGAAAACACAGTCATGAGTTTCACACTGAAGTGATGAAGAAATGGCTATTTTGATGCAGCCCAGTGTGTTGCTTGACTGCACTGTTATTATACAAGCATAATTTTAAATCACTAAAGGTGATTGTAGATAATGTCCTTACATCACTGTTACATAATATCTGTAACTAAAAACTTC